TCTATCAATCTATCTATCTATCTATCTATCTATCTATCTATCTATCTATCTATCTATCTATCTATCTATCCATCTATATACTGTATATATATTTTCAACTGTGTTTGTTGGAATGCAGGGCCCTAAACTATCTGTAGTTCAAATAACTGAAAGGTGTTTTCTAAACAGACTTAAATTTTTTACTGATTTTGGCAGTACTAATATATTTTATAATTAAAAATGGACAGATTTCCCTTAGAAAAATATTGAAATGTTACACTTCCCTATCCTTTCATACTCATCATAATCATATATGGCCAAGTGAATTCTGATTAATGGTGATCATTCCCAAGGCCATACAGGCTGGCTCTACTCACAGGAGCATTGAACTCCCAACCTCTGATTCCACAGCCAGAGACTTAAACTAGTGAGTATTTGCCATGATTGTTGAGTTTATAAATGGTATTCATGCTGACCAAATACCTTTCCATTTTCAGAAACAAATATAGCTCTACTGTGCAGAGAACAGCTGTATATGTTAGTACCCAGAGCAGTATGCAAAATATTTGAAAGAGAATTGAATTATTTCCATGCTGTGCTTCTCAGGTGAACTACTTCTAGAAATATCATGGGGTTCTTTTGTCACTGATTTTTGCAATGCTGTCAAAAATGTTTGACTCTCTACTCTTCCCTTCTACATTGGAGCGTTTCCAGTGTCTTTAACTAATTTACCGAGATTGGTCAGTATAACTTGGAAAGTCATAATAAATAACGTGTTTAATAATGCATCTTGTGGAAGTTTATTTGTAAGTAGATTCCCCAGTGCTGAATGAGATTCTCAGGGAAAATATGTTTACGGAAACCACATTTTATAGTTTAGTCATTAGATAACATTTGACTTTGTTGTAGGCAAAAATCAGAAGGTTCCTGTTGCTCTGTTATTTCTGAAGAGAGACGATAAAGTTCTTGTCCAAGTTCCCAACCACCGAGTCTTCTATAACCTACTGTTATCAACCCACAGTCTAAGTATCCTGTGGAACTTCTGCTAATTGGAAAATTCCACCTGGTTAATAAGACAGGGTCACATCATTTGTCTAAATACGTTGATGAGTGAGGGTGTGTTTTCTCCAAGAAGAACAGCACTTGCACAACAGCAATATCTGCACAAGCTGTGTGATCCTGTGTTACTGCACTAGTGGGACTTTCCACTTTGCAGGAGCTCAACAGGATACTGGCCATAGATTCTTAGAAACAGAAAATGTAAAGATTTAATCTTTGCCGCTACTAGTTTCAGAGTTCCGCAGGATTGAAAGAATAGGCCCCACCATTCAGACAGCAGGTCGAAGTCTGAAATATGTGAAGGATCCTGTTAATAGCATTAGAAAGATCTGCCTGGTTAGTGAAATACCTTGCAGGATATATTAATAATTTTGAAAACCTACAAACCCCCCCCCCAATATGCACACCATTTTGCTGTTATGTGTTGTACATAAAGGATATAAAAAGTGACCACAGCATGAGATCCAAGTTTTCTTTAGAATCTCAGTTTTGTAAAGATGCTGGTCTTTCCTGTGAAATAAGCATAACTATTAGAGAGGGATGGTCAATTTCAGAATAGATCCATGGGCTGAGGTCACAATTATTTCAGAGGTGGTCTACATAGGAGTCCCCAAACCACCAGACTGTGCAAAGGGAGGAAATACAGTCCAAGCTGTACCTTGGATACCCTATCATAAAAGCAAGCTGCAAAGAGAAACCATTTGTATTTACCTTGCATGTGATTATCAAAAGTCAAAGTTTGGGATATGGTTCTTTCTGGGAAGTTCATCTTGACGGGAACAATCCTTTACCAATAAAACCCATGTCCCAAGCTTTGACAAAGGAAATGAAAGTGGGTTAACTTGCGAGCAGTCTAGTTAGCTGGGACAATCTAAAGTTTCCACAAAGGAATTGAAGTTATTTTCCAAGAAAATTCTATTATAAAGGATATTGTGGGACTTAAAACCTTGATTGGAGTCTTCTAAAGTTTAAGGATTGGATCATACAAGCTGGACAAGTTTGTTCAAGATCTCTCAGCTTCCTGATCGATTTGACTGTTGGATTTGAATGTTTGCATTGAATTTACTCTGTATTTACTGAAAAATTGCTAATATTTAAAGGGATATGGCACTTTAAGAATTATATAGTTACTGTGGATAATCCATATTTAGTCTGCTCGGGTTTTTCTTTGGTTACTTCACTATTATACTGAAGCAACATGTTGAGTCAGCCTGGATTCGGCTGGTAGCATCTTGGGGACTTGTGAACTTCAGGGAGGCGTGTGTGTGCAAAGAATCCAAAATTCTTCTCTTTCATTCCCCCTCCATGTGGTTGGCTTACTGCATTGTTCAACCCTATGATAAAACATTCTGTATCTACAGTTCAGAAAAAGAAAAGTCAAAAGAAGCTATCGTTATTGTAAAAACTGCAAATTGTTATTAACATCTAACCCATTCA